TTGACAGCGTATATAGCACACAGCACAGCACTGTACTGCCCTGCTCTGACCTTGAAACTAGGGTACATTGAATAGCACAAAACAGCAAAGGCAGCAGAATAATAAAAATGGGTTTGTCTGTGAATTTGAAAGAAAACATTAAAAGTGTAATGATTTTTATATACCAACAGAAAAACGATTCTCTCTCTCTGTGACACTGACCTTGAATTACTGTCCAGTCTGACTAGACTGCTTTTAAGTGCAGCCAGTTGCTAAAGAAAGAAAAAGAGAAACGCTTTATTTATGACTCTGTCTGGGAATTTTGGCAGAATTTATGCGTTAGTAGAAAAAAGTTGTTTATGGTATTTTTCATTGACTTTTTATTTTAACTTTTTTGTAATTAAATAAATGTCAAAAAGTTATTAAAATAAAAAGGAACAAAATAAAATGTCAAAATATATTTTTTAAACAAAAAATTTAGTTTTTTTAATTATCACCAAAATAATTCACAATGAAAAAATGTTTTGCAATAATTTTCTTTTTTTTTATCACAACACTCAAAGCATCCGTTTGTGTGTTTGTGTGTTCAAACTTAATTTAAACCATTACTCATTTAAACGAGTGTGCTTTCACAGTACACCAAAAAGTGTTTAGCATTTAGCATTTGCATTTGCATTTTTATCTGTGCCCTCTTCTCTGTACATTTTGTTTCAACAAAAAGAATTGAATTTTTATTAGCCAGTCTACCTTGAAAGGTGTTGCCGCCATTTTTGCCGCCACTGTTGATGTTGTGGTTGTTGTATAACTTATGAGCTAATCAAATGATGAACAGTACTGCCAGCAACTTTGTTAAACAAAGACAAAACAAAGGTGTACAAGTAAAAATTTAAAACTTAAGCAGCAAAATATTCAAGAGTCAATGCAAAAAACGTTGTCAAATGGGAAACAGCATCTGTTGAATTTTATTTCAGTTTTTTTATTGAATTTAATTTTAATACAAAGAAAAAAGATACAAAAATGAAAGCTCAAAAATTATGTTTTTATAAAACTGTTGTGACTCAGTTTTTGAGAAAACACCAAGTAAAGTACGGCAAAAATGAGCAGTAAAGCAATAAATAAAAGGCAAAAAGTTTTAAATAAGCTTAATTTTGCTTGGTGACTCAGTCGTAGAACGTCGTCATTTCTGGAGTTTAGTTTCAAAAAGCGCCAATTCTTCATATTAACTGAAAAATGAAAATTTTAGTTTGTTTAAATTGATTAAATACAAAATAGAAAGCCAAATGTTAAGTTTTCATTCACGTTACTTACATGAAAAATTTAATGAAAGCGATACAAAATCAAGGCTGACAATTAAGATTTTTTCCTCATTGCTACACCTATCATTTATTTTTGTTTGTATTGTTTCACTTTACACCTACTGAATTGTTTTTTGAAACGCCTCAACATATTTGTTTGCATAATTTCTAAAACAAACTTAAACTAAAATTTAATTTAATTTACAAATAAAAACCAAACTAATAATGCTGTTTTGAATGTTTAAATAAACTTGACATTTTTGCTTTTTAAAAACATTTTAACTCACTTGTTTGAAATACACACACACACTTACAGGTAAAAGGTTAACAAACACACTCACATTTTGAGCAGTAGAGAAAAGATAAAACTCAAACTTCAAAATCAGCATATAAGTTAGCAATCAGTTTTTGTCAGAGAAAGTTTTTCTGCAGCTTTTGGCAAATGACCATTTTAACAGAAATGGCTAAAATAAAACTCCTTTGTTGTTGTTTACTACTTTTGCCAGCAACATTTTCAGCAACAACTGATGATGATCAACTTTTATTCTCCTCTACAGCAACAGCACCAAACAACTTTCACTGGCACTCTCTCTTTAACACCTCTGCTGGTGATGACCACTTTGCCGATCTCTTCCTGCCGCCATATCTTTCCTTTGATAAGCTCATCCTGCAAACGCCATCAGAGCTAAATATTTCACTTTCATTTTCTCACCACCACCAATTGCTAAGTCAACCATGTCAGCGGTCACTTCAGCAGGCCCTCGAAGCCCTAGCCAATCGTCAAAGCTGGGCCGTGGAGTTGTTCAACGCCTGGGCCCAGGCCTACCCGCCCACCGGCGCCGCCTCGGGAACGTTATCAGATCTGGGCGACTTTGACCAGTGTTTAGACCTAGTGTCTCCAAAAATGTCCACCAAATACTGCCTGCTCGATTACCACTTTCCAATGCCTCGACCGCGGCCAAAACATCACAATTTCTATCACCAAACGCCGAATCTATTACCATCGTTAGAAAATGAACAAGATTATCAACTAAAAAGTAGATCATCGTTTTATCGAAAGCTGGAACAGGTGTCACCCCTTTTCTACTACACCAGCATTCAAATTGCCATCTGCCTGCCAAGTACCTGCTCTTCAGAGGATGTGTTCATCGTTGGGAGCAAAGGTTTGAATTTTTTATAAATAAAAAATAAGTAAACAAAATGTTTTTTCTTTTCAGGAATCATTGACCTTGGACTAGTTCTTGACAAAACCAGCACTACCAGCAAAGGATGTCAGCAAAAGGAGGGACCGTTTTCCTGGAACAACCTGAACAGCTGGCAGGCTGCTGCAGTGTAAACTTAGCCAAATTTTAAAATTTTGAATAAGTTTAAAAATTTTTTTAAATTTTTTTTGCACAGCATCTTCATCGCCGCCCTCTGCCTCTTGACACTGCTAGGTGCACTTGTTGACCGACTTTACCGTGAAGAAGAAGAAGAAGAGAAGAAAAAATGTAAATACTCATTTTAAAAGCACTTTGTTTTTTTGTTTGCTATACATTATTACATCATTGATCTTTTGCGTACCACCAGACTCTAAAAACACTCAAGTGCTGCTGCTGCTCAAGTGTTTGCGCTGCTTCTCGCCGTTCGCCAACGGTCGACGACTGCTCAAGTTGAAGACGACGACAACAACAAAAGAAAAAGTTGAAATTGAAAAAGAAGAAGATGATGACGATGATGATGATCAACTGGCCGTCGTCCACGGCCTACGGTTCCTGACGCTGCTGATCATCATCGTCGGCCATGCACTGGACTGGAACGGCCTGAATATGTTCAGTAAGTGTTTACCTATGTTAGGCAAATAATTTCAGTTTTAAAATATATTTTTTTTACTTTCTAGGAAGCAGCTTTTCAGTGCCAGAACAAGTTAGCTCACTGGTTTGGCAGCCGCTGTACCGAGGTCAGCTGACGGTGGACACGTTCTTCTATTTGAGGTATTTTTTGTTGTTGAAATTTATTGTACAAAAAACAATTGTACGACATTTTCATTTCTACCGTACAGCGGCCTGCTCACCTCGTACATTACGTTGAAGTACACCGGTGGCCAGTACAGCCGTTTCAGCTACCTGAAGTACCTTCTACTTCGTTATTTGAGATTAACTCCTCAGTTGGCCGCTTTCCTTCTGATCACCGCCCTACTTCCAAAACTCCTCGACCAGGGCCCAGTCATGGCCCGCTACTCGGACCGCCTCTTCGCCGACCACTGCTACGACAACTGGTGGCTGAATCTTCTCTTTGTACAGAACCTTATCAGGGTGGAGAGTATAGTAAGTGTTGAGTGATTTTTTTGTCTTATCAGGGTTGATAAAACTTTTCGTGTTATCATTTCCAGTGCGCCCTTCACACCTGGTTCCTCGCCGCCGACATGCAACTGCACGTCCTCGCCCTGCCTCCTCTGGTCACCCTGTTGCTGAACCGGAAGTCGGGAGTTCGCCTGGCGACGGCAATGCTCGTTTGCAGTGTACTTTGGAGTTCCTTAACAATTTATCTCAATGAACTCCCGCCCGGAGCAATCATCACCTCCAAGGCGGACTTTCTCGATGAACGAGGGATGCCCAGCGAATACCTCCGCTTCTGCTACCATCCCTTGGCTCATGCTCACGTCTTTCTGATTGGCTTCCTTTTTGGAAATTACATTCGGGAGCACTCTAAGGAGTTGAGGAGCTGGCGGCTGAGTTGGGTGAGAGATAACGGAAATAAGATTTTGTTTTTGTTGAGTTTTTATTTATTTTTTTTGCTTTCAGCAACTCAAGTACTCTCTTTGGACGGCAGTGCTCACCGGCTATCTGCTCACCATCTACAGCATGCTCCCCTGGCTCTACGGACGCCCCTATAATCCTCTAATCTCGGCAATCGTTTTTCCGGCTAACCTAGCCCTCTGGTCGCTGGTCCTCACCGCCGCCATTGGCCTCTGCCTGACCGGAAACGGAAGTGGAGTGGTGGGGAAGATCCTCTCAACGCCTTCTTTAAAGCCTCTCTCCCGACTAACGTACTCCGTCTACCTGACGCACGTTTGGGTGTTGCTAGTGGCGCTGGGAGGTAGACGGGAGGTAATTGACCTCCACTTTGGCTCGCTGGTCTGCTTCCTCTTATCAATTGTACTGCTCTCCTTTGGAGTGGGCTTTGTCTTCAGTGTCTTGGTGGAGAATCCGGTCCTCCATGCGATTGACTTTTTAAAGGAGGTTGATTGGAGTAGCTGGCTTGTAGTTGGAAGGCAGCAGAAGACGAAAAAGAATAGAAGAAGTTTTCCCAGCGTTGTGGTGACCAAGTTCAAGCCGCTGGAGGCGAGTTTACTTTTTAGCATTTAGTGTCAATAGTAAAAAGTTTTTTATTTTATTTTAGCAAGGTCTAACTAGTTAGGCAATAACTGTCATTATTATAATCATCATTACTGCTGACTATCTTTATCTACCGTTTTATGTTACTAAATCATATAAAACTTTGTATCATAAAAAGAAAAAGTAAAGATCAAGTTTAAAACTGTGGTTCCTGATGCAACAGGTGGTTTTTTACAATTATCCTAATTTTCCCTCTAATTTTTGCTCTTTTCACCAGACCCCTTTTGTAAAAACTCTCACTTTCACTTTTTTTATTCCACTGCCTAGATAGATAGCCACAAAAATATTACTATTACTTTTTTATTTTATTATTATTAGTCAACAAAATCATAAACAAGTTCGACAACACTTAAACTTTGGCGGCCTTCTCCGCAATCCAGTCCTTGTAGTACTTGGGCAGCGTGAAGACGGCCATGTACTCGCCGGGCGGGCACTTGCTCGGGCCCCAGGAGACGACGCCGGTCAGCTTGCCGCTGGCGGAGACCAGGGGGCCGCCGCTGTCGCCCTGAATTAAAAGCAAGCAAAAAAATGTGTGTAAATTAGTTACCTCATTTACGAACTGACCCCTCCTTCAAAACAACCCCGCCCCTCCCCTCCTCCTCCTCCACTTACATTGCACGCCTGGGTGCTCTCGGCGATGGCGCAGATCATGCCCGGGGCGATGGCGTTGACGTCGCCCCACTTCGCCTGGCACTTCTCCCGACTGACCACCTTCAGCTGGCCCTTCTGCAGGTCGTTGGGCGTCGACTGGGCGTTGCCGTCGGTGAGGCCCCAGCCGAAGACCTTGACCGGGTCGCCGTCGGCGAGGTCCTCCGTCTCCAGGGGAATGAAGTCCACGTTCGAGCTGGGGCTGACCGGGTTGGCGAGGATCAGCAGCGAGATGTCATTCTCAATGGTGTTCGGGTTGTAGTCGGCGTGCTGGCGGATCTCGGTCACCTTCACGTCGGGCGCCCCGGCGCCGGGCGTGTTCGCCTTGTTGGTGCCCATGCGCACAATCAGGCTGCCCGGCTTTTGGCCCTCTGAGGTTGAAATTTTCAAAAAAGCAACAATAGAATTGTTAAAAAGAGGACTGCTTGATTTTTATCACAAAACATTGATAAGATCAAATGATTCCTAAGCTGAAGAGCCAACTAACTAACCGGTACAGTGGGCGGCGGTGATGACGGTTCGGGGGTTGTACAGCGATCCGCCGCACATGTGCTGCTTGATGATGACGTAGTCGCGGATGAGGGAGATCTGGTAGGGCGCCTCGCCGATGGCGCTGATCAGATTAGGCGAAAATTGCAAATAAAAATTTTTTTTGTTAAACAAAACTGAAATTAAGAAAAGAAGGCCGATTTTTAAATTAAATTAATTTACGTACGCGTTCTCACCGCCCACCACTCGGGCGCTGTCATCCAGGCGCTCCAGGAAGCCCCACTTCTCCTGCAGAGAGACGGGCAGTCGGGCCTGAGTGCCGCTGATCAGCAGCACAGCCCCTAGAAGGGCAAACTTGAGAAGGGCCATGGAAAGGAGTTAAAAAGATAGATTTTTTGGGGAAAGGGCAGCAAATCAGAGAAAAGAAGAGAACTCCAAAGTAAAGCTTTAATTGCCACAAGTGGTTCTCTTTTATAGACAACCAGGGCTTTTATTGCCTGGGCTGGCTTCTCTTATCACTCTTATCACCTCTCAAACCGAGAGTTGATTTTGACTGAAATCAAGGCTGGTTGCCTAATTAATACAGTAAAGCGTGTAGCAAACTGGGAACTGAGGCAGTAAACCACTGACTCAAGTTGGTCAATAAAACTAAAATGCTGAGAAGTTTCAACTGCGTATAATGCGGATAGGGCAAAGTGTAGTGTCGTAAAACTGTGAGGCGAATTTCAATGTCAATCCCTCTCTCTCTTTCTTAGCATCCGTCTTTAAATTATTAAAAAAATTAGTATTATTTGCCATCTTTTAATTGCGTGAAAAGAAATTTTATTTAGATTTCACATTCAATTTAATAATTTAAAAAAACAAAAACGCATTAAAATTTAATTTAATTAGAGCTCATCAATCTACTTGCTCTGTACTGCTCCAACCGAAGAGATCTTTCTTTTTTACCACCTCCACCTGTTGACCTTCCACCATTGACCTTCCGCACCAGCAGCCAGAAGGCAGCCACCCGGAAGACGACCATCACCACGCCCAGCTTGAGGTAATTCCAGCCAAAGTCCTCTTCGCTGATGCCCATCGAGTAGAGCACCGCCGGCACCGCCCCCTTCTCCGCCGGGCACCGCCCAAAGCCGTACAGCATCAGCATGATCGTCTCAATGGTGTACCGAGGAACGCTGAACCAGGCCAGGCCCTGGTAGACGTAGTGCATCTCCTCCACCGGGACGTAGGTGTTTCCAATTAGGATGAAGAAGAGGTAGGCGGAGCAGGCGAGCAGCGTCGTCAGCCCCAGGTGGCCACCGCCCACCAGGGTGAACACGTGCGCCAGGCCGACTATTGTGACCTGACCGAGGGTCAACAGGGCAAAGAGGGGCCAGTAAATGGAGCTGAAGCTGACCACCGCGCCGTCGTAAATGTTCACCACCAGGACGTAGAAAAGGTTTGTGAAAACCAGCGGAATCACCTCAACCACCGACTTGACCAGGTAGTAGACGCCGGTGCTGTAGTAGCCTAGATGATAATGGAAAAAATGTTTTTGATAAGTACTTTATCAGTGATAAAAAAACTACTCTTGTACCATTTCGATGCTCACTCCTGAAGACGGCGTACTCCCGAAAGGTGCTAAAGGTGGCCGTGAAGAAGGTGACCAGAATGAAGATCGTTGCGTAGAAGTAGTTGTAGACGAAGTTGTCGCGGAAGAAGAGCTCCCGTTCCACCTGCTCCGGACTTCGAGGGCCGCAAAAGTCGTCCTCCATTGGGTGGACGCAGCCGTCCGGGGCGGAGATCTTCTCCGGCGGATAGGAAGTTCTTAGGAGCGTTCCAAAGATCATTGATACTAGGAAGTAGGCGACCCACTCGGTCCACAGGTAGCCGGAGATGTAGTGGACGGTCCGCTGAGCTAGCGCCCAGACGGACTGGAGGCTAAAACGGGTTCGATTTTTGGAAATTCCATCCACGGTGAGGACGGTCTGTTGAAGGAGTTCATTTGTGGAGTTGTTCATGAATTGATAATTTGTCGCCTCAGTTAGTCGAAGGTTCATCGGCTCATCCGCCTCAAAGCAGGACTGGTACACCAGCTCCTCGATGGGAAAGGCGAAGTGTTTTAGGTAGGTGGTCGAACAAAACTGCTGTTGACCGGAAACGCCTAGAGGATGATGGCAGTGATCGAGATGCTGGCCAACTAGCTCGGGAGCTCCGCTGAAGATGCAGGCGCCGCCCCGTGAGAGGACGTACAGAAGGTCAAAGGTAAAAAGAACTGCAGAAGTTGGTTGGTGAATGCTGGTGATGATGGTCAGAGGGTGATGACTGGTTAGCCTTTTGAGGGCGGCGATTACCTGCAATGAATAGTTTAGAAATTACTTTAAAAGATTTAAAAAGTTTTTACGATCTCCGCAGAGTTAGTGTCCAGGCCGCTGGTGGCCTCGTCGATGAAGACGAGATTTGGCATCTCTAGAGGAGTTAGTTCTAGAGCCTAAAAAACTTGACTTTTATAAAACAGTTTTTCAATTTAAAAAGTTTTGGTTAGTTTACCACTGCAACTCTTTTCCTCTCTCCGCCTGAGCAGCGGTCAATTGGAGTGTCAGAAGCCGATTCCAGACCTAGCTCTTTCAGCCACCGATCAGCAATTGCCCCGTGATTTACTTTCTCCTTACAAGAGACGTTTTTCAGCTTTGAAGAGTATAGCAGAAGCTGCCGTGAAGTCAGGCCGCTCAACAGGTGGTCGGAGACTTCTTGTGAAATAAAGGCCGTTTTTGTGGGCGCCCCTCGGCGCAGGTAAATCTGACTGCTGTCAGAGAGGTGACCACTGATTTCTGCCTGACCACTGAGCACTTTTAAAAGTGTTGTTTTGCTAAAATTAAAAAAGTAAATGACAATTAGAAATTTTAACATTTGTCTAGTTCATCTCACCCGGCTCCAGAAGTGCCCAAAATGGCATTCAAACTGCCCACATTAAATTGCCCGTTCAGTTGATTGAGAATGGGAGTTTTTGCTGTGTTGGAGTTGCCAGTGGTTAATTTGTCAGGCAAAAAAGATTCAGTGTCTGCAAAGAAGGTCAAATTGCGCCAGGCGATTGCAATTTGATTGCCGTCTGTGTTTTGAATCGTTGAGTTATGAGTCGGCAATTGAAAAGAAATTTTTTTGCTGCTAGATTCGGAGTGATTGGAAACTTTGTTGTTTTTGTTTCTGAAACTTGAGACATTATTCTCCTCGTCCACCACCACCACCACAACAGAAGCGGAAAAGAGGTGGTTGTCGTACTTGAAGCTGAAGTTTGACCCGTTGGCTTGCTGAACTTCTTTTTCTTCTTTTTCATTCAATGGTTCACTACTCTTTCTTTTACACCTCTCAAAACTGGCGCTAAACTTGCAGTACAGCGCGGCAAATGTCAGCATTTTTAGCAGCAAAATATTAACCGCCACTCGAGCCGCATACTCCCAAACTCGCCCCACCTCAATGTCAAAGTCTACCGCAATCTTCGAGTAGTGCGTCGTACCAAGCGGAAAGCCGCACCTTCCCTCCACAAAGATGGCGTAAAAGACGCCCTTGGTGGTGAAGATGACGCCCAAAAGGTCAGAGGCCAGGTGCAGGAGCCAGCTATCAGGGGCGATCCTCTTCAGATTGACGTACGTTCCATTGAAGAGACAGCTACTTGAGTAGACCAGTTGAACTAGGAGCAGTGCCAGTGTTGGATGATCCACAAGTAAACTCCCGATCAGCTGGCCGATTGCCTGGACGTAAAAGCAGAGCAGGGCAATGAAGAGGAGATAAAAACTAAATCTTGTCCAGTTTAAGGAGGTGATCCAAAAGTGATCAGCATTATCAGCTCGCTGATAAAAGGCATCAACGGAGTGCTGCCCGGAGAGGAAGTAACTGAGCGTGGTGATCAGCAGTACGGTGATGCTCAGCTCCAGAGCGGTGACGATCATTGTGGAAGTGTAAAAGACGCCCAGCGAGTACCAGCGATTCCGGTGCTCCGCCTGAAGGCTCTTCAGCGTCTTTGAGTAGAGCGAGGTGGCGATGATAAGCACGGTGAAGCCGCTTATCAGCAGGACGTAGGCCAGGTAGTGGACTGACCGCTGGGTGGGGTCGTTCTGCTGATAGGGACTCTCATCGACGACGTTGCAGACGACGGGAGAAATGAAGGTGGAATCGGTTGTTGTTGTTTCAAAAGTAGAGGAGGAGTTCACAGTGGGAGGAAAGCGAATGCACAGTCTTCCGTCAACTGAATAGGGGTTTTCTTTTTCCTTTAAAGTCTTTTCATTTTCAGAAGAGGTTGAAGAGGTGGAAAAGAGACTGTAGAGAAAGGCAAAAAAGAGCGTGAAGAGCAGGGGCTGAAAAAGGAAAGTGGCCAGCTGGGCGTGGAAGGTGATTCGAAGTTGACGACAGAGGTGCGTCCACAGGCTGCAAAAATTAAAGGTTTGTCCTGAAGTTTTATGGCTTGTCAAGGAATTATCCTTGATGGTTTGCCCTCTGACGAGGGCGAGCTA